ATGTATTTACTCTAAATTTAAGAAATTTTAAACATTATATGCTACTATTAATACATCATATTTCAACTCTTCATATATGTGTGTGCTTGTATAATATCTCAAATCCAATTATAATATAATTCAGTAGCTTAGATTTACACCTAATTTTCAAATATTTACAAATTTCTTCATTGTACAATTGCTTATTAAAGCTGGTAATTTTAAACACTTTTAAAATTTAAAATTTTACTCAGCTGATTTTTACTACCATTAAGCTATGCAACTTATGCATTTAAATCTCAGGAATACAAGAAACACTATTAATGTTTAATAAAAAGAGCTGTATATAGAATTCATAATTAACTGTTCTTTTAACTCATTTATAATTCCTACTAATTTTCAAAAAATGCTTCAGGTGATGCCTACACAATGTTTTTTGTTTTTGTTTTTGTTTTTGTTTTTTAACGAGTATTCTCTATTTTTTGTAATGTGGTCTCATTTATGTCCTGACGGATAAGCTCACCCAGGGTTTATATGATTATGGACTTAGTAACTTGAAAATACTGTTTTTTCTTCACTTTACAAGGGGATCAGGCACTAGCATATCTGCAGTTTCCTGATTCCTATGAAAACATGTGACATTCCTCCTTTGCAAAGGTTTCCAGTTTCCTTCTCTCCGTGTTGCCAATCCTGCCACCACCCAAGGCGGATCTGAATTCCATCAGGCCACAGTTAGTGCCAACAATCAAGCTGACCTCTCCACACTCTAGTCCTGCCTATAACATTATGGACATTATGATTATTAAAATGCCTTTTTTTGATAATTATTCAGCCACTACTAGCAAGAAAATCTGAAATGTCTCTGCCTAAAGCACGGCCTCCCCTGAAGAATATGCTAGACCACCTATGGTCGCAGATGTCCTGGGTGTTCTGCGTGACAGACTGTGGGAAAGTTTGAGAGTCAGACCCAGAATGAAAATCTCTGATTTTTCCAATTGTAAGAGAAAATTTACTTTTAAGACAGGCCGTACTGATAGGATAAGGAAGACAATACTGTTATCAAGAATGTTTATGCAGCAGGGGAATAATCTCTTCTCGTATATCCCTACACCAGACACACCAGGTTTTGACAAATGTTTAATGATGTAAGCAGAGAACAGGGGTCCCACCGCCTAACTAAACTCCCTGTAATATATTAACATATTATATATTAATGTTTAATGTGTCTCTCCTACCTATCAAGGATGTGTTCTGTTGTTTTTCTGAACATCTATTGTTTTTTCCACCACGAGATCCACCCTGCTTGGACAAAACTTCACTTGTCCAAACTCTCACCCACCACTCTCCATCTCTCACCCACCTCCCTCCCACCACACTGCCTTAGGATGTTTTGACTTCCCTTTCCACAACTTTTTTTATTCTTTTCTGCAGCAACTCTCTTTTGCTGCCATTCTTTTATACACGTCCTATCCAGTCTGTGAAAAGCAGTCTGTCTCTCTTGTGACTAACATTTACTCCTCTTAGATCTTTGCTTTTAATCCCCAACCACCTCAGTATTTAGGGCCTTATCTTTTTGTTGTTGTTGTTGTTGTTGTTGTTGTTGTTACAGGATCCCCCTCTGTTGCCCAGGCTGGAGTGCAGTGGCGCAATCTTAGCTCACTGCAACCTCCCCCTCCTGTATTCCAGCATTTCTCTCCTGCCTCAGCCTCCCAAATAGCTGGGATTACAGGTGCCCACCACAACGCTCGGCTAATTTTTTTGTGCTTTTAGTAGAAACGGATATCACCATGTTGGGCAGACTGTTCTCGAACTCCTGACCTCAGGTGATCTGCCCGCCTCGGCCTCCCAAAGTGCTGGGATTACAGGCATGAGACACTGCGCACAGCCTTACCCCTTATTCCTTTAACCCAGCTAAAGAACTCTTTCCTTGAGGATATGAATCATATTACAGTTCCTATCTGTATGAACTGTACAGTTGCACGTGCTCTCTGTGCTTATTTTACTAAGTCCCACAGCCTTGTGTATCAATCTCTTAATATCTGTACTTCTGCCATGATCATACATTTTTCCGAGAACGGAAACTAGAAGAAGCAGACTCCAGAGTGGTCACACTGACAGTGTTTTCCATGCGATTCATATTGTTACATCGTTGTGACAGATAATTCCTGTCGTTTTGGGTAAACAAACTTATTACAAACTTTTTATCCTCGATGCACTTAATAATAATCACAAACTGTCTCTCCATCTACTTATTTTTATAAATCATAGGGATCGTTTTCCCTTTGTTATTGTTACCAGGTGAAAATCTAACTCATATTGTTGTCCATACCAAATTCCTACCAAATGCCTCATGGGGATGAGGGATGATTTTACTATCCTGGTGTCTACTTTTCAAATACGTAAAATTTATATTTCCTTCACCCAGAAATTGCAATTCTCTACTCTATCATTCTTTTATTTCATTTCTTAATTGTCATATAATAATTTATAGGGTACCTAGCGATGATTCAATGCATATAGTATATAGTATTCACATCAGAGTAATTAGCATATGTCCATCATCTCAAACATTTATCATTTCTTTGTGTGGGGAACATTCAATGTCCTCCTTCTAGCTATGTGAAACTATATAATATAATATTGCTATCTGTAGTCATTCTGCAGCGGTAGAAAACACTAGAACCTATTTCTTTCCTCCTATCTAGCTATAATTTTGCGTCCTTTAGCAATGTTTTTCCTCTCCCCTCCTCTGCCTACCCTTCCCAACCTCTAGTATCCTCTGTTCTACTTTTAATTCCATGATATCAACTTTTTTTTAGCTTCTACATGTGAGTGAGAGCATGCAGTGTTTAACTTTCTATTCCTGGTTTACTTGACACTTAAGATTCCAGCTTTATTTTTTTGAGTTACCCTTCTATGTTGTTTTGGTTATTTATAAACTCTGCTATTTATAAAATCATTTTGTGTTGCTTATTACATCTTGATAAATTATCAGTGTTTTTCTGTGTTTTGTGTGTATATATTTACTTTTTATAGTTTCTCATAAGTATACTTTTCATTACTTTTAATCTCTCCCAGTGCAGTGCTAATTTATTATCCCATAATAATCTACCCTTCTGGAAGCCAAGGGAAGAATTTTCTGTATGTAAAAGTCTTAGTATATTAGCAAGTCATATGCAAAAAAAAAAAAAAAAAAAATGTATTTCATGCTAGATGCAAGATCTGGCCACAAATTAAGAGCATGTGGATTCTCCTCCTTTTTGGTTTTTGGCTTATGAGATTCCCACATTTGCTTCTTCCAAAGACAAAATTCTGATCCCAAAATAATCACTGAGGAATATTTAAATGTACAAAAAATATAGGTTTAATTTTTTCAATTTTATTTTACTGAAATACAGAGGTTTCAATTTTGAAGGGGGATTCAAACTTTAAAATATTACTTGTAATATCAATTAATGTTTTAAGTTAAATACAAAATTATAGAAATTTATAGGATCACAAGCAATGGTGCAAAAAGTATATGTTCAATAATATCAGTGTAAAATTAAGTTTGCTACTTTGAGTTGCTTCTTTTAAATCAGAGGGCCTACATGCTACATATGCCTTCAGAATTCTTTGATGTTAATCTCTTATGATAACCAATTAGTTTCCAAATTTCTCAACTCAAGGGCTGACTAATACTATTGCCTAAGCATTAGGTGGGTCATGTTATTTTAACTAGATATGATGGCTAATCGTAACAGGGTGTCAAAGACCAGAGGAGTTGAAAACTGGGAAATTTGGAGACACCCTGTCTAAACAGGATTAAGGCTAAACGAAAGGATTATTGTTTTCCAAACCCCAGTGATACTTGTGATAGCTGCTTTCTCAACCATTGGGATTAAAGGTTAGATTTACATTTAGAAACAAGAATGCAAGCATGTATTCATGAATAGCCCTGTCTTTAGAGAAAAATTCTTCAATGTCCTAGCCCTTCTGTGTCTAAGACACTAAGAAAGATATTTGTGTAGGAAGTTACACACAGGAAAATTCTCTCCTACATTTCATTTTTTTACATTACTTCTTTTCTTCATAAAATATACATCTATTTTTGCAAGCTTATCTTCACTGTGTATTAAAGCTTTTCTAAATAAACAGTTTAAGAGATACATTTTTATATACTATTTGCATTTAAATATAAACATATAAAGTTAATTATTTCTTTTAAAATAAATTCTAAGAGGAAAAAAAATTGTATCAGTGTTTGTTTCGCAGTGGCATTATTGCATAGGTTATTAAAACAACTAATCTTTATTAAAATTCAAATAATTTACTGCCATCAACTCTTCAGTATACATTTTACTTCATTTTTATAAAATTCTGTGTATTTATACTTCTTGAAAATATAGATAGTTCAGATTAAACCATGTGTACAAAAATATAATTAAAACAGGAACATTTTTAAAACTTTTATTAGTTTGACCTCCTCCAGTATACATAGATTCTGTTAAATTTATTTATTTTTATTAAGTTAATAAGTTGAAGTTGTTTTCACATCAAAATTACCTATCCTTAGAAGGAGGTGAAAAGGAAGGTGCATTGTAAGACAGTTACATAACAGCTGGGTAGAGACAGAATGAGATGATAATCCTACTGTATGTTACAAAGAAAATACGTATCTATTTGGTATTAGGGTCATCTTACGTTTTTTCTGTTGTAAAAAAAAAGTTATGCCCATATATGAAGGTCCTGCCTAATTAAAAAATGAGGATAGGATGGTGGTTCGTTTTCTAGCAGTCAACTGGGTCCCTGGATTTGGAGAATTACAGTTATAAGACTGTTCACATTGACACATTTCAAAATACTAATTTGTTTAGATTGTCTTTGAAATTTATATAGTTTTTTTTTATTTTCTTTTTTAAAGAAAGCAAACGAGCTCAGGGTTTTTGGAAATTGCTTTATTGGCGAGGTCTATGGATGGACACCATTGTGTAGGGGCTGCTGATTTTCCCTTTACATATTTCCCCATCTCCCTTCCCCAGGTGTTGCTGCCATCACTACCTTTCCCTTCCTCCCCTTTCCTCATGGCAAGACGCATGGAAGAAGAGTGCTGTTAAGGCCTCTCCATTAATCAACAGGTATGGTGGTTGTCATGAAAGAGTGTAGCTGCCCCTCTTCTGCATTCTCCATTAATAGTCTGTCTCTTACATTTACAAGATGTACTCATCCACTACACAGAGCCTTCCATATGGAAAAATTGTTCAACTTGAGTTTGTATATTTCACCATGTAATGCATTACCTAAATCCCTACACAGTGGTAGATTTTTCTAAATGTATAGAGTTTAGAAGAATTAATGATATTATTCTTAGGGAAAGTTGCTATGCAGTTTCCTAAACAAAATGTATATAAAAGAAATGGACCTTGTATGTATGAATATGCCACTTTCAACATTCTACAAATAATCGTTACATAACATATCTTTGAAAGTATAAAACAGGAATATTTCTGTGAATTTTACTTCAAAATTTAATAGCATTTGCATCTTCAAAAGCATTGCACAAAATTTTATGCACATAATTATAATACTCATCAGGTTATAGAAAATTAGGTATAAGCTAGTTCAAATAAATCTAAATACCCTACAAAGCTATGCCATTCAGATGTGAAAGTTGAATGCATGCTAATTACTTTCTGCAACTTTCTTTTGTCAACTCAGCTGGTGGCATTTGAGGGAGACAGAGGGGACTGTTTGTTCAGTCCAAGATATCCTTCATTCAGGGTGCTGTATTTTGAAAGGAGTTAGGCCCTCAGGGCTCAAACTCCAGCAGAGTCATAACCTATAAAACATGAACACTCAGTCATCACCAGGAAGCACCTGCCTTCTTGATTTCTTTTTTAACTAGTGAAACGAGTCCTCCCAGCTCCTGCAGGGGCTTGTTTTGATGTATCAGGCTTTGCATTACAGTCTTGTGACTCTCTCAGGTTCTTTGAGACACATGACTAAAATGCTACCTTTGGGCTAGGAAGATTCTTGGCAGATGATTTGGAAAAATAGTGTGTCTATGGGTGTGCATGTGTACAGCAGCATTATTTGTAGTATTCTTTAAAACTGTAGCATAATTAAGACTTGTCTGTATACACAAACAAAGCAAACCATTTCAATTTACATGCATGTTCACCGAACGTTAAAAGATCATATTCCATTTTTTCCACTGTATTTGAATGCATTGGAATACTGGAGAAATTGAAAAGCGAATGGATGTTAGTCTGGACCATTAATCTTCATTTAGAAATGTATGACTTTCTGTTAGATAAAGCTCTGATCATTAAGTATCTTTCATGATCTCACTTCTACTCACATTTCTTGCCTTTATATTATGTTTTAACCTTGAGTGCACACTGCGCTTTGTGCTCTGCATCTTTCCCAGAGGGTGCAATCTTTCATGTCCACAGGACTTAACACGGTTAGGTCTCTCCATCTGGAAGGCACTTGACTCGTGGCTGTTTGGAAAATTCACACACAAAAAATAATAACAGCAACCATGTACTGAGGATTTATTGTATGTGGGCACAATGTTAATGAGTTTCACTTCCATTTTCTTAATTCATCCACACAAAGAAACAATGAGTTAGAAATTATTATTCATTTTATGTAATAGGCAAGAAAACTGAGAGGTGGCAAAGTCGAGAGGGGCCAAGATCACTCAGGATTGACTCAAGTGGGACATGCCTTATACAACTTCTCCTCATTTCTCCCCAGGAAAGCAGTACTCTCGTTCATGCTCAACTCTTGAGTTACTAGAGGGCAATGACTCCACCTTATCTTTTATGAGCTCTTCGATGTCCACAGTACGTGTTACTCACTAAATGTTGATTAAATGAATGAATGTTTACAAAACAGCCTTTTTTCTTCTTCTCCTGAACATGGGCCCTTCCCCTCACCCATACTTCTCTCTATTCTGTTTTTATTCCCTACTTAGCTTGTTGTTCTCGGCCATTATTAGCTTCATAGGTTACTCAATATATTTTCTATAAGAAATAATTCACATTTTCCCGCAGATTTAGGACCTGTAACTATAAACTGAATCAATATAAAATAATTGCATCCCCAGAAAAAGAAATTGATAATTCAAATCCTGTAACATTTATCAAATCTAATGGCAAGAAAGGAAGCGCAGAAACACTTATAACTCACACAGAAAGAAGAAAATTTAACCAAAGTTTTTTAAAGATTTGAGGAAAGGAAATTATGAAAAGTATACATGAGATTATAGGAAAATAAAGGGGCTAGGCTTGAATGGGAAAACAGTTGTATCAGTTTACCACAAAAGGAAAACAGTGGATAAGTAAAAAAACAGATAGGGAAAGAGGCCAAATTAAGGAGAAAAGAAAAAAAATCTTTGAGAAAAAAGAAGCAAAACAATTTTGGAAAAGTGAATTAAAGAGGTAATGAAGGAAACATGTCATTAAAAACCACAGACACTGAAAGGACTTTAAAAGAATATGAAATAAAATTGGGAGGGAAAAAAATCAATGCAGGTAGAGAAAAAGAAGTTTATTTATGTGTTTGTGTTTCCTTATTCTTAGAAAACCCTTTGATGTAAAATGACTAGAAAGAAAAAGTGTAAGTTAAGATGCATTGATTTGTGCACACAGTATGTTTTTAGGACTTTTTCTGTGACAACAGTTTTTTTGAGACCAAGATACGGGTTTAAGCATTAATTTGGAGCTATGCATTTAGAACTAAAATAGTTGTGCCTAGAGAATACGGTTGAGACAGGGCTTGCTGGGAAATTAGGATTCAAGTCCAAATATTCCTCTCCACCACGTTCTCTACCAAGATACTCATAACACTAATTAATCTGTTAGTTTTACACATAAAAATATCATCTTACATCTATTTTTCTTTATGTAGAGTGCCTGAAGCGTAGAATAAATGTTTGCTGAATTAGTCATGAAATGTTAAGAGTGGGTAGAGATTAATGGTCAACAAATCCTGTCTTAGATTGTGCATGCATGCATCCCTTAACACCATTTATAAGACTTGCTTATCTCCACTTGAATAATTCTAGGGACACAAAGTCTAGAGGTTGCTCCTATTTTAGGACATCTTTAATTTTCCAGCTTTTTCTAGCATCCTGTAACTTGATTCCAGTTATCCCAGTTTTCCCATTTGGAAGCACAAAATAATTTCTATTTTTTAAAAAAATGAAAAAATAGACAGACACTATGTCATAATGTCTAGATATCTAATGTCTCTCTATTTTCTTTTTTGGTTTATAGCCCCAGTCTTTCTAATTTTTCTATGTTACTTGATTGCAACTCTTTTTAGTATTCTGGTTATTTTCATTTTCTCATTTGGTGAAAAATGGTCTTGCCTAAAACAAGAAATTCAGCATGTGCTTCCACAGTTTATGTTGTTATATTTAGTCAGCTTGAAGAAACTAGCAATTTCATTTGAACACCTTCAAAGAAAAAAAAAAAAGAGGTACAGTTTAAAGCTGTATATGGCTTTGACATTAATTTGTTAAAGGTATGGTTTGTACAGGATACAGTATATAAATAAAATAAACACGAGTATATATAAAACAATTAATTTTAAAAATAGCATTTGAAGAAAGATTTTCAGTCTTTACTTTTCACTTTGTAATTTAATACATATTTCAGTTTGTGTTGGGTGCCTGAGGTGAATCTTTGTCTAAGAAGTCCATTCATCATTCTAACAAATTTCACACTACAAAATATAATGTCCTTAAGTGGATAATAACATCAGTGGCAGTAAAAGACAAGCAAAACAAAACAAAACAAAAATTATTTTTCATTGCAAATAATTGACTTGATTGACTGATAATATGGTCTCACATATAACAATGTATTGTTACATGGAGGACAAAATATGATTAAAAGATGTGTAAAGCAAGAGCTGTCAGATCTGTGCTTTCCCTAATAGAATTTATTGCAAAGTAAATTCTTCATTTATGGGAACTCTTACAAATGCCAAATTGCTGTCAATATCCCTTGGTGCGGCCTATTTATGAGTAGATTATGGCACACTCTGCAAGGGCCTGCACATCTGATTTTCAGTGAGTGTCTATGCAGAATATATGGCCTTTTCCAGAACTAGGAAATTTAATTAATTTTCTAGCAGAGAACACTTTTTATGCCACATCCCTTTTTGCTGACCCTACCCAAGACTTCCATTTTCAAATGTGCTTCATATATTATGAACCTACATAATCTTAATGAAAGTCTTCCATATGGTAATTATATTGTTTGACTTTGTACAGTATTCTCAAGAGCTCCAGTGCTGACATAAATTTTTCTCTATGGTACTGAACGTTTCTTTGTACATTGCATGAATATATGCACCTCCCTCTGCTTTTTGACATTCAGTTCCCAAAGCAATACCCTTTAGGTATTTGATTATCTATATGATTCTTAGGCCATATTCTTAAAACAACAGGAAACCTATGTCTGCTTTGCTATCACTGCTATTGAAGGGGTATGCCATGTGCAACATGACCATTTAGATACTTTTTACTCTGTCTTTTAGTATCATAAAAAGATGGGAGTGAAAAGCAGGACCTAGGGATTAATCACTTAACCTCTCAAGACCTCATTAATATCATTAAAACGAGGGATTTGGACTAACTCATTTTTAAAGTGAATTCCAACTTTCTACAGAATATGGAAGACTAGGAATTTTATAAATTGAGATTCTGTTCTAGGTTTGCCAAGAAACTATATTTAACTTCCCTGGAGCATGGTTTCCTCAGCTGCAAAATAAGGAGACTGAGCTAAATCACGGATGTAATCTTTAGTGATAACATGTGTTGACTTATTTTTCTTTCTGAAGCTATCTCTTGAGAAGGATTCTGAGAGGTTACTTTGACTGAGTGGCATGGAGTGCTGTGATCATGTGATCCATTACCTCTATGTCACAAACTTGCATCATAAATTCTGAGAATGTTTCTCATTCAAAAAGAAAAATTTTGATGATTATTGTAATTTTTAAATTTCTATGTTTGTTCTTGTTTGAGGTATATACAGATGATTCTTGTGCTTAAAAATATGTGAATCCAGGAAACTGTTTGGTGCTCTTAAGGAAGACAGGTTGAGGAGGGGACAGCCACTCTAGATATGTGAAATACTTTAACTCAGAAGAGAGATGAGGGATTCAACTCATAGTTTGTGATTCCTAGCAGCAGACTGAAAGCCAGTTGGATAACATGAGGAAAAATCTGACTCCCCATAAGGATAAAATGTATTACTATAGAAAATGCTCAATAAAGGTTAATACATAGAATAGTCTACGTTGTGAAATCTGCATCATTAAAGATGTTAAAATTTAGATTACTTGACAGTTTCTCAAGGCCACTATTTTTATTTTATTTATTTATTTATTTATTTATTTATTGAGACAAAGTCTCAGTCTCTGTCACCCAGGCTGGAGTACAGTGCGCAGTGGTGCAATCTCAGCTCACTGCAACCTCTGCCTCCCGGGTTCAATGGATTCTCCTGCCTCAGCTTCTCGAGTAGCTGGGATTGCAGGTGCACACCACCATACCCGGCTAATTTTTATATTTTTAGTGGAAAAGGGGTTTCATCATGTTGATCAGGCTGGTCTCAAACTCCTATCTCAAGTGATCCTCCCACGCCGGCCTCTCAAAGTCCTGGGATTACAGGTATAAGCTACCGTGCTCGGCCAAGGCCATTGTTAAAGGACCTCATAAGATAGCAAGTTAGGTAAAATGAGTTCCAATGCTAATGGTCTATAGTTCCATAATAACTGTCAGACATAATAATATCAATAATTTTGTACTTGGATTTGGTGATAAAATTATCAAAGATTTTATTGGAATTGATGTTTTAGAATTTTAACATAAGTCATCTACTTGTTAGCCAATGCTGTAGTGTTCTATTTTGTCAAAGATAGTGCTTTATCTTGTCAAAGATGCCTTTTTGAAGGAAAAGTTACTAATTCTCATTTGTGGAATTCACTTTTTCTGTTTTTTATAGACTACACTCTGTATCTTCATTTTGAATGTTACTTCTTTATTGAAGTATAACTGACTATAATAAAAGTTAAAATAAAGATCATAATTTATTTTCAACTTATTAAGATATAGAACATAAAGCATTCACATAGAATCATAAAGTATTTTACCTGGAAGGGATTATGAAAATTTCATTTTGAAATCTCATTGTCTTTTTCAAGGTCACTTAGTTAGTGAGACACTTGAGATCCAGATTTTCTGAATCTCAGTTCAGAGTAATCAGATTTACTGTAGTAGTAGCTTGCTGAAAGGACAGATCTCGGTGAGTTGAGGCTTTCTTTTGCTTTCTTGGATCCACTACTTGTCTTGACTCAGCGGGATGAAACAGGAAAACAAACAAACAATTTTGTATAGAAGAAACAGAAAAACACTAGGTAGCATAGCCTGCTGAGTTCCTGGAGGAACATGGAGGTTGGCATCCCTTTGTGAAGCTTGACATTACAAATATTCTTTGTAATCTACTAACAACTCCTGCCAGAAGTAAAAACAGTAAAAACAAATATATATTCCAATTTAAAATCAGGAGCTGCGTAATATGAGCTTATCACTACCGTCTTATGGCTCTGGTCACCAGAGTTTAGCACCACTAGAGTTTATAACAAATGAAACAGAGTAAATTACCAAAGATGTCCAATCATAAACGTTAACCAGACTCAACTATCATTATTTAAGCTTGCCTGTCCACTCTAATCAGGATAACAGACATCAATTAAATAAAAATAATTGTAAACACAAGCACATTAGCTGATTGTAATGGAATATTCATTATTTGACAGGGGAAATTACACCAGTAGGATATATTGCTCAGGATTTTACTTCTTTGTGGTCTTAGCTGAGTATAACAGCAACATAAGCCCGTGTGTTCAAGTAATGAAGAAAATGCAGGAAAATATTTTAAAAACAACCAGGAAATGTGGATCTAATTTTGAAATTGTGACACTTTTGTGAGGATAAGCTTGGCCGAAATGCAAAAGTTTTACTGATCTCTCTGTATATTTATAATAGGAACAAAAATTGGCATTGAGTGGGGCGATAGTTTTAAAAGATGTTTTGGATCATTTATTTTAAAGATTTGTTCCCCAATAAGGTACCATATTATCAATACTTTTCTTCTTATTTCTGAACGAGTTCTCAAAAGGACACTGCATATTGTATGTCTTTAAATATATGAAATAGGCTTTTACATTGTATGGGTCTTTTAGTATATATCCATAAGAAATTTTCTTCCAGGGGACTGAAGTTCTAATTTTATCATGGAAATCAATGGAAAAGTTACTTTCGCCTAACGCATTAATTTGCTTTACTGCTAACTCTGCTGGATCATATTAAGTTAGTAGATAATTTCCAAATATTTTTGGCCTCAGTATGAGTGAGACAAGAGGCACTATTCAAAGCATTTGAATATGTTTTATGACACTTGAACTTAAGAAAATTGTCATTATGCTTCAAAGACCGAAAATATCTGCTAAACTGTGATAGATAGGGGTATTTATAGAAGAGAGGAAAGAGTGGAAAAGATAGATCAAAACCAGGCAGAACAAACTATATATACATGGAAAGAATCAGTGAGGAAGGAGGTTACAGTTTTTTAAAAAATACTCTTAACTTTTAGTTAATTAGCCAGATAGTTTGCTGGTGGAATGGAAACACAATAAATTAAGTGTACTGAAGGTGGAAAGACACCAAGGGCCCATCTGTAATGTCTCATATAGTTAACTGGGCAGATAAGCTCTTCTTTATATTTCCAGAATATATTTCGTGGATATGTGAGTGGCGTGTCATCATAGCATTATATCAAATACTTATCAAGGAAACATAATCTATTCTGGTCATTGATGTTGCCTTAAAGGTGTTATAAGGATATTATAATAGCAAAAGAAATACGTTCATGTATATTTAAATGACAATTAATAACTTATGGAGATTCAAATAATAACTATAGAAAATAAAATATGTTTCAACTAGTAAAATTCTTAACAGTCCACTTTTAGTTTTTAGAATAACAATATCATAAGAAAGAAACCTTTTTTTTTTTTTTTTGAGACGGAGTCTTGCTCTGTCTCCCAGGCTGGACTGCAGTGGCCGGATCTCAGCTCACTGCAAGCTCCGCCTCCCGGGTTTACACCATTCTCCTGCCTCAGCCTCCCGAGTAGCCGGGACTACAGGCGCCCACCACCTCCCCCGGCTAGTTTTTTTTGTATTTTTTAGTAGAGACGGGGTTTCACCGTGTTAGCCAGGATGGTCTCCATCTCCTGACCTCGTGATCAGTCCGTCTCAGCCTCCCAAAGTGCTGGGATTACGGGCTTGAGCCACCGCGCCCGGCCAAGAAAGAAATCTTAATGTATTTTTGGCAAAACATTTTAAAGTTTTAATAACATTTTAACAAAATAAATTAATTTAATCTGAAAACTGAAGTAGTTTGCAACTGAAATAAATGATTATGGGACATAAAGTAGCGTTTTGTTTCTTTTTAAGAATTTTGATATTTATCTAAATTAACCAAGAAAAAGTAAACAAGTCATTTCATAAATAAACTATTGCTATTATTGAAATAGTGACCAGAAAAGACTAAATCAAATTATCTTATTATCAATTTAAGATTAAATCTTTAAGAAAATAAAAAGTATTATGAACAAATAAAGCATAAAAGCATCTTACTTAGTAGATAATAACATACTTTTTAAGCATAGCTATATTTGCTAGCCCTTTGGTAGGGGTGGAGGAGCTAGATTATCTTTTCAATAGTGTGAGGCTCCAAGGACCAGATTAGCAAAATTAGATGGTTCTGAAAGTTTAAGAAACTGTCGAATCATCTACAACTTGGTATAGAAATCACTAGATTTTCCAAAGATGTTATAATTCAAGTGTGCCAGTGATGCTTTAATATATGTTTGCTTTTACCTGCAATCGTATTTATGATATTCACTAATGAGAATGACTGTTTTTGAAATTTACTTATAAATTGAGAGGCACTAAGAGGAACATTTTAGCAACTGGAAAGTCTTTTTGTAAGCCAAAGATTTATTGTAAATAACTGCAAAATTTCAGAGTGGTTTGCTCTAAGGAAATGTGTGATTTACACAGTACCATTAGCAATTAAAGTTATGAACTATTTTCCAGGCTCTCACAAAGTCCAAATATCGGATATATGTATTATCTTGTCTTGTTGGATAAATTATATCTTTTTAGAAAAAAAGTGCAACTAAAAAGTATAACTTCTTATCACTGAGCATTCTGGAAAAAGTAAAACATGAATTATTATTATTACATATTATAGATTTTACTTTGACATGACTATAGTTTGTACAAAAGTGTGTTTCCTGCAGTTGCATGAATATAATATTAATAAGTAAAATGTATAGACTGTTTTTTCTTCCAGAATCCTGATGGCTTTAAATCAGTTTTAAAGTGTCATGTTAATCCCTATGACCATGGGCATCTAAGGATTTAGTTTATAAAATAAAGTAATAAAACTTGGATACTTAAACTACAAATGAAGTTGCCTTTTATCTTAGCTTACAGTACTATAAATGTGTGCCTTCATCTATTTTGGTAGGTAGTTGTTATTTATTTGTTTCTTCCACTTTGAATTAATAACTGAGAGCTTCCAATTTATTTAGCACAAGTCCTAAATGAAAGAGGATATATACTTAATCAATGAGTAAGCGTCTGGGATGGCCAAGCGCTTACACTGGATTGCCATTTATTAAATTTTGATAGTCTAACCACTCTGTATTCTATTTTCTCACCTGTGAAATTGTAACATAGTAACATACGTTAGGTTCCCAATAGTTCATGCAGAAATTATATAGATAGTTAGAAAAGGAGGGAAGGAGGGAAGGAAGGGGGAAGGAAGGAAAGAAGGAAGGAAGGAAGGAAGGAAGGAAGGAAGGAAGGAAGGAAGGAAGAAGGAGGGAGGGAGTGAGTAAGAAATATTTCCTACTGATTTATAAAAGAATCAGTCCCCCAATGCAATTTGGAGATGCTACATCCAAGTACGAAGCATGGATAATGGATGCAATAGAATATTTTGCCATTAAAATAGGATTCTCTCTATAGGTAGGCTTCGAGAAATGCTTTTGGGAATGAATTCAAAAATGAGAATTGGCTGTGGCTGGGTCATGTAAGGAAGCACTGCGATGCAGACATACCAGTAAACCAGATAGTTTATGAATGAGCAGAATGCTATCCTGTTTTGTCACTTCCTTCTGCTTATTGAGGGTGGAACTCCTTTGGCATAGCCATGCTTTTAGAATAATCATCTAGAGAACTCTTACACAATAGTCACAATGGTCATGGAAAAGATCTGGGGAAGAAATTATAGGACATGTTTTATGCTGTTAGAGGA